TGGATCTTGTGGAGCCGGATGCTGTGAAGCTGGATCTTGTGGAGCCGGATGCTGTGAAGCTGGATCTTGTGAAGCCATGGTGGTATCTCCTTGGCCAAGGATCATGGTCTTCTCACTGTCGGAGCGCTCCAATTGAGATGACATGTCAACAAAGTGGCAAGGCAAACTGGTGGTCGCAGGATTGCTAGCCAGAAAAGCTGCAAGGTGCAAGGTTCTCAAAGTGTATACATGAGATACTCAAAGTACAATGGTAACTACTCAAGTGATTATAAAGGTTACCGCTCAAACATCAAGCCACTGCAGTAAATCTCTCAAAACATTGGTTGAAAAGGATCTATATAGATTCAGTGTTTCCCCAAAAGGTTCATAGAAAGTGCGTGTCACAGGTCTCTCTCAAAGGTTCTCAAAGGTCTTTCTCAAAAGGTCTCAAGTCTCTCTCAAAGTGTTCTCTCAAAGGTATCTCTCAAGGTAGCTCTCAAAGGTATGCGCAGTATCCTTAAAGGTGTGCAAAACAGAAAAGGTTTGAAGCGTTTGTTGACGCAACTGTACATGACACACTGCAATTCAAATGACTGCAAGAATGACATATACTGCAATTCAAATGACTGCAAATGAAATGGGTGCAACAAACAGCAGCTGAAGAACGGACGACTGCGCAGCTTTTTCAACACACTCGAAATGCTCTTATCCTATAGCTGCCGCGAACCTCTTAAAGGCTCATGACCGCCTTCTGCTCCTTCTCCTCGATCGCCTTCCCCTGCTCCTGCTCCTGCTCTTGCTCCTCCTGGATCGCCTTCGTTTGGAAGATTTCCTTCGTCTGCTCCTTGAATCTCTCCGACTCCTTGAAGGGCGACGTGAACGCTCAGCAGGCGCTCGACGAAGAGGAGGTCGATCAGGAGTTGGACTGCAAAGGCCTGGGCCAAGCGTTGCAGTCACAAGCTCTGGCTCAGAAGACTCCTCCTTCACCACCAAGAAGGCCTCGATTTTCGGCCTCTTCTTCTCCTCCTTCTGCTCCTCCCGCGTCTCCTCTTTCAAGATCTCCTCATGGTGCTCCTCCCCCGACTCCTCTTCCTCTTTGAGGAAGAGCTGCAAGTAGTACCCCAGCTGAGGCACCTCATCGTCATCCTGCGGGTCGTATCCATCTTGTAAACAAAGGCCATCCTCCTCCAGCTCAGGCGCATCAGCTGAAGCTGCAGCTGTAGGCTTCGCTGGAATTGCCGATGGCCTTGGTCCATGCCATGGTGCGCCAACAAGTGGAGGAGGAGCTGGAATGCCGCTTCCAAGCTTTGGGTCACAGGGAGCAACCGGAGCAACAAAGCCTCCCATCAACGAATGGTCTTGGGTTCACAGGATGCAAGCCCATGGTACCAGGTGGTGGTACACAGGGAATTGGAGCTGCTGGCGGAAAAAGGAAACACCGGGCCTGTGGCTGATCCTGGCATACCTGGAGGTGGACCAGGTGGTGGCGGCGGCACAACTGCGTGCATAGGTGCCAAAGGTGCCGGAACTGTACCAACTGGTGGCATAGGTGCCGGAACTGTACCAACTGGTGGAACTGTACCAACTGCACCAACTGGTGGCATAGGCATAGGTGGGGCAACTGTAGCTGGCGCGGTACCTGGAATCGTAGCTGCAGCAACTGCGCCAACTGTTGACATGTTGGTCCGTGGACGGGCAACCTCGGCTGCAAGTGGTGTATTGCATACCTGATCGATGATGCGACCGTCCCGCTCACCGATTGCATTCTCCACCTTTTCTGCTGCGTCGTGCGACAGGTAGGCATCAGCGATTGAATTCCCCGGCCTGAAGATCTGCACGCGGTACAGTCCATCTCCAAGCCCCAGATCAACCAGTGCTTTCTGAAGCACTTGAGATGACACGCGCGGAATCAAATTCCGCAAAAACACTCGGTGCGACTTGGCCTTTTCGAGGTGGAGGATACAAAACCGTCTTAATTAATGCGGGCTTCATGTATCAAATGTGTAAATTGTCAGGATGGTGAGAGTCCTATATAGTGACTTTGACCGGTCGGTACCATATACTGTACATTAAGGATGGCACTGCATGGTGTGTTTTTGCAATGCTGCCTGACAGGCTTTTGTGGTCGCATAATTTTCAACATTGTACACCAGTATGTTTCTTGCACATATGCCATATATACTCTGTGAACCCAAAGCCCTCTGTCACGCGCAACAATCTCTCAATTTGACAGCAGTGTGAAGTTTACTGACTTACGTGAACAACAACTATATTGTGAATGTCAATATTCAGAGCAACAGCTGCAAGGTCAAAGCGCACAAGCAAGGTATACTCACACGGTTTCAAAGGTTTTTCAACCGTATCTCCCTCAAAGGTCTCTCAGAATAAATAGTGGCGTGACCTGACAAATACTTGGTTGCGCAAGAAATCCTGAGTGAAACCCTTTTGTGAAAGAAACCTTAAGAGAAAAGGCACTTGTGTGACAGAGTTCACGCACAACAAAATGCTCTCAGAGTAAACTCTCATGGTCTCTCAATGGTCTCTCAAACTGTGAGACACAGCCACAACTTACATGGTGAAAACATTCAACTGTAAATCGAACGAATCACACCTGCAGACACTGCTTCTTTTTTTACCAACACAGCTGCCAAGAATTCCAGCTACATGTGAAATCTCAAAGGTGAACATAGTGCGCAAATACCCACACGGTCTTCATGGTCTCTAGTCAATGTCGACAGGCTTGCTGGGCTTGCCCTCAAGTTCTGAAGGTCGTCGCTCCGGCTCCTTGGCACGCGCGCGCTTTGCAGGAGGCTTGGGCTTGGTCTTCTTCAAGTCCTCCTTCTTCTCCTTGATCTCACTTGGAGGACTTTGATCTGATGGCCACCTCTTGTCGAATTCTTCTTTGACCATATCTCGAGCTCCCTTCGCAAATTCCAAAGCCTTTTGATGGTTCCCATCGTAGTTTGGATGGCATTTGTAAAGATTCATGGCTGCACCATGGCCTCTGCTCTCCACTCGATGCCTCCAAACTGATCGTTTCTCATCAGTCCCTTTCATTCCATCAAAAAACGCTCCTCCACGCAAAAGGAACTCATTGGAGATGGTGGCTCCTCCACATCCTCACTGTTGCGGTTCACATCCAAAGTGGCACTGGGACGCTTCATAGGCTTTGACGTAGTCTTCACCTTAGCCTTTTGGCTTACTTTCTTGGCTGCGCTTTCCTTGGGCTTGCTTTGATTTGCCTTTTTCTCTTTCTTCTTTTTGCAGCGTGTCTTCCTCTCCACTGTCCAAGGTAGTTGGCATGAGAAAAGATGCGCCTTTCTTCATGGTCACTTTCGATGGTGTGTCGGTGGAGCGTCCTGCACTAGCCGTTTGGCCTCCCTTCCACGGTTCCCCAAACTCATGGTCATCCTCGTCTTCGGACTCCGGCCTGTTGACAATCTTCTGGAAGCTTCTTTGGGCTGATCCTCAAAGCCGGTTTGCGTGGTGGTGGAGGTGGATCTGGCAGAACAACCTTGATCTCAGGGGAGGTGGTGGTGTGTCTTCTGCGTCAGACTCCCTGGAATCACATTTGCGCAAAAGTACTAGCACCGAGTTGATAGCCTCCTGAGTCTCAGAGTCAGCCCTTCTGCAAGCCCTTTCTTTTGCGTGGGAATCTTTGGCCAAATCTCGATACTGTTTCATAGCTGTTCTCACAATGTTGTCAACCAGGTCAACATAGCCTGAAGTACTTTGCTTCGAGAAGTTGCACTTCATTTGTTGGTCCAACCTTTCAATAGCAATCTTGTTCTTCTTGGGCGGCAACATACTGTTCGGCGCAATATAGCGTTGAAATAGTGGTGCATGTTCTGACAAGAAGGTGATATCTGGCACACTTTTCCATGAGAAAGTTGGTGACACGTGGAGCAGCTTGATCAAATTTCTATCGCCCTTCTCCTCCATGTACTTGGACAAGGGTTCCATCAAGTCTGCCTATGCTAGGGTCAGCGGATAGGCGAAAGCGAGGTTGCTTCAACATGGCCATTTTGGCCACTGAAGGGTCAACAGCAAACACAACTCAGTAACCACAATATAGTACCACAAGCTTCTTCACTGAATACTATTTTTAACTGTAGAGTATAAGATCTCCTTCAAAGTGCATGCAACTGCATGTGCTTGAGTAAAGAGGCGTAGGACGCAGAGGAAAACACATATGTGTTTCGATGCTGTATATGCATTGAAGACTTGAAGAATGACATAAATGAATGTGAACTTCAGCCAGACTTGAACCACAGTGGTTGTATACCCAAACTCACCAATGCAAACTACATGACCAAGAAAAAGCTGACTCTCAAGGTTCTCTCACAATGTCCTCTCTCAGGGTTCTTGCTCTCAGTAGGTCCTCTCTCACAAGGTTCTCTCAAGGTTCTCTCAATGTCCCTCACTCTCACAAGGTTCTCTCTCACAAGGTTGTTTTCGTTTCTCCCTCTCTCAAAACAATGACTGCCACTTCTCTCCTGCGCAGGCTGCGTTTTGCACAAGTTCAAAATGCCTCCAAACAATCACCTAGTGAAAGAAAAGTATATGCTGTCAATCTCCAAGCACGAACTGTCACAACTTATGCGCGTCAAGGGTTGTTTAACATAAGTGTCTCGCAATGCTCGTTTGGAAAAAAATGCATAACTAAGAGCAGTCGAAAGGTTGATCAAACTTCGAAGTACACCCTTCGAAGTTTCAAGTAAACTTCGAAGCGCACCCTTCGAAGTTTCGAAGAAGTTTGGTCGAAACTTCGAAAGTTAAATTTTTACGATTTAGTTAAATTTTTACGTTTTAGTTAAATTTTAAAAATAGTTAAATGTTTTAAACTCATTTTAGTTAATTTTTTAGAAAATAGTTCAAACATAATTTTAACTGTTTCTTAAAAATTTAACCTTGTCGAAATACGATTTAGTTAAATTTACTAAATTTAGATATATCCTATTTGTTTAACTAAGCCGGTCTATTGGGTAATACAGTCATGTGAGTCACGCGCTCCCCTTCGCCTTCGTCCTCTTCGCGGGGCTTTCTTGAAAATCTTCTGCCCCCCGTTTTGCCTGGCTGCGGGATGCGAGTTAAGCACGGTGTAGTGGGATTCCGAGTACTGTATATAACATTTTCACTATCCTGGAAGAAGCGTGAGCTATCCGTCTGATGTTCGTTTCATGTGTTTTTCTGCGCTTTGTTCATTTTTGTTTTAAGGAGCCAAGAAAGAACCCCAGACACGATCAGTCTGAGACTGGCCGGTTGACCGATCAGTTGAGGACGCGCACCCCTGGGAATAACCATCAACAACCTTCCAAGTCAAGGCCAACGGTTGAAAAGAACTTTGTTTAAATGTCCAGTTTTTGTCAACCCGCGTTTGAGGTAGGAGCAGGACACCTTTGGCTCTACGGCCTCCAAAATCGCCAAGGGTTCGGGCAAAACAAGGACTAGATTTAGACTGAATCAAAGCTCAGGGCGGGTCATTAGATCTAAAAAGATCTAAACTAAGGAGATTCTGTCGCGCGCGCCCGCGAGCAACCGAAGGCTTCGGTTGTGGCCACCCTCTCCTTGCAAGGCTTTGGCCTCGAAAGCCATAGCAGTCTGAATGGATTCGGATCGTTGGGTGGTCGGGGCTGGGCGATGTTCGGCAGAATCCGGATGTGAAAAAAAGCCTTGATGCAACGTACTACAATAGCAGTATCCCGAGCCGAACCAATGGATGTACATTGATTTTCCTTATGACAGGGATGTGTTGCTTTTGCGATCTTTGGGAGGACTTGCAGAATGAGCCGCTAGACTCGCCCTTCAACCAAAAGCCAAGTTCTTAGCTCCACCTGGACGTCCTTTGATCAAGTTGCTCAAAGGCAGGCTTCTTGGCCCAAGTGGCGCGTACAGGATCTTACAAATCAGATCACTCCATTCCACCGGCGCACAGCTGTGTGGCCAAAAAGAAACCGGAGGAACATCGGATCTCAGGGGTTCTCGAAATCACGCTGGGGCCGCCGGCTGGCAAGAGTTTCCATCAAACACCAACTGGCCAAGCAAGCACTTGGTGGTGACCTCCTTGGTGCGATTGAACATCGCACAGCAGGAGATGGAAGATGGTGCGAGACCCCCAACAACCAAGTTCAATCAAATGCAGCCATTATGCTAAAACTCTCTCCAAGGTGGGCGCTCAAATGTTTCCTACCAATGGAATCGTGTAGAGCGATGATCCGACTATCTGTACGGACCAGTCCCGGCCGTTCTCGCCCATGGCGGATCCGGTTTTCACCCGGACCGGTGGGGCGCCACACGTTGAGAATCTTTAAGACATGCCCATACCATGCCAGGCTCCTCCCTGCGCTCCAAATGACATCCAAATTTGATGATGGGGACACCAAACTGCTCCGAACAGGTGTGTCTTAAAGCGAGAGCTCTGGTCGCACTTCTCTTGCAGACCACTAACGCAGAACCATAGGGCCAGGGGCGCCCAGATCATCTTCGAACAATTCTCACCCTGCCAAGCTTCTCCAGAGTAGCCGGCATTCACCTCTCCACACGGGCCGGTCAATGTCTCGTCGTGCACCAAATCCTGCAATTGACCCCACGTTTGCCCCTTAAAGTCCTAGTCTGGTGAACGTCAGAGTGTGAGTTATGTTTTAAGTGTTCAATGCGAAGTGTTAAGTCGAGTGTGTTGAGGCAGTGTGTGGGTCTCTGTGTGTGCCCCTTGTAGTCACAGGGATTCTTTTGAATTGTTTTACTCAGCAGGGGGACACAGCATTTCACTGGGACTGTGTCCAACGAAGCTACCAGTGAAATGGGATATCCAGCTTGGCCAGCTGGTCGTACCTGCAATTTTCCAATTTTCCGAATGGCGTGAGGCTAAGCCCAGAACCTCTTGACATGATTCCTAAGTAGCCGCAGACTTGCACGCTACGACGTCAACTTCGTCGATCGTCCTCTTCCTTTGTGGGCCTCACTTCCTCTTGAAGACCTCCAGGATCCAGTGGTTCATACGTGTACCCTTAGGAATTGGAACCCTAGGCCGGCGTGTGGCGCCGCTTTCAGTTCCGTATGCATATCCATAAGTGTGTTTGGCCTCGCGCCAACTGCCTCCCGTAGACCCGTCGAACGGGGGTTTGTCGTTGTTTCCCTTGCTTTGGAAACGTAAGTGCCCACAGCGGGCGAAGCTGGCTCATGCCACCAGAAGTTGGATATTTGTCTCAATTTTGGAATTCCAAGTTGGCTCATGCCTTTACGTGACCGCAGCGGTCAAAGCAGCCAGCCATCTTGGCAGGGCACAAGGTGACCACAGCAGTCAAAGTCAGTTTTAGGTTCATTGGAACCTGTCGGAACACACCGGGCTGCGCTATATTCAAGAGTTACTCACCACCTTTGGCATGATCCACGCTTTAACCTTTGAGACTGCTCAATTGGACGCCGAACTACGTGGACGCACCACCTTCCGAGATCCTCGTCTTCCTTCCACTCCTCCTTGCAGCTCCCGGCTCTCGGATGCCGCAACGAATGACTCCTACCAGTCTCAATCCAGATGATGCTCCTTCGCGGATGACTCGGACCTCTTCCACCTCACGACCTACGCATGGAATTGTCGTCACTACTTCGAACCGAACCCTCTCTACTGCTGAGATTCGACTGCGCATCGCTCCCGTTCTCGATCAAATCCGAGTATTACTCTTCCCCCTCGACTGGTTTGCCTGAAAATAAGCTAAGATCTCTCAGTTTTCTCGGCTCACATGTTTACACCTTGGCAATGTACCTTTTTACCTTGATCTTTACGTTGGCTCGCCTACGCCCTACTCGTCTTTCGTCCGTCGCCGCCTTGCCGCCATGTCTTCTTCGACATCGGCACCACACTCTCTTCCTACAGGACTTGCACCAGTCGCTGGACTACCTCTTGCAGCTCATGCCGTACTTCAACGGGAACTTTTCCACATACATTCTTCTTTGCGCCTGATCCTCCTAATTCTACGAGGACCTTGGGACACAATGACTCCTGCCCTCGCAGACACCATCACTTGCCCACGTCTTAGCGCTACCCGGTACCCTTCGTGCACTGGAGACCAGTATTGAGCAGATCAAACGAGCTACCTGTACCACCTTGAAGGTCTACACGGATCAGCCTGCCCTGGGCTTGCTACACCCTATTCAACGCTTGACTGCCCAGCGCCGTGATCAGACCATCTTTTTTTGCCACACCTGTTTCCCCTCCCTCTCCCTCCTCTTTCCTGGCTCGTGTGATCATCTCTCCACCCTCTCCCCCACTGGATCCTCCGACGTCTACATCGACGACTACCACTGGATCACATCCTCCTCCTCCCACCATTCACTCCTATCCTTCCATCTTGCTTCAAGATTCGACACTGACAAGGACGACACGCTCTCGTTCCCGTTCTCCTCCACGCCGACGTTAGGTCTCACACACTTTCGATTCGGCGTTTGCACAAAAGTTGACGTTTGGACCGCCTCCTTTTTGGTCCACACATGGATCTGAACAGTGTCACACTCTCCACTATGTCACAGATTGATTTCTCCTTCTTTTGTATCACTTCCTCGGCTCACAGCAACCCGTCCGTTTCGAACCGATTCGATCCTCCCCTTCTGCCTCTCGCCATGTCTGCTACGCCTTCTCCGCCCTGTGGCCTCGCACCGACTCCAGGTATACCTCTTGTTGCCCAAGCAGTCCTACATCGGGAACTTCTTTGTGTACATGCTTCGTTGGCCCACATCGACACCATTCTCCACCAACCACTTGCTCTTCGATCTACTCCACTTCTTGATCGAGTGACCCATCCACACCTCCGTGCACAACTTGAAGGCCTGGACAACACTCACTACTTGCACTTCGGGTCAATCACACCGCCATTCACTACACCCACGAACTTCTCACCGCATTGGGCCTCCTGCATATTCCACATCATAGTCCAGATCAACTTGAAGCTGAACTTCAGGGCCGCACGGACTTCGGCGACCGCGCACTTCTTTCTACTACCTCTTCGATCACTACTGTTCACGGCGTCCCCATCTCCGCAGGTCGACCTTCGCCTCTCTCTTATCCTGAATTTCCTTCTACACCGACTTCTTCGTTGACTACCAGGATTCACAACACCTTTAACCGGGTACCTCCATCTTCGGGGCCACCTCCTCCTGGCACTGTACCTCGCACCCGACTGATCGCTCGCTCTCGGTCTCGCTCTCGACCTCGGTCGACCAGTCCTTAGCTTATGCGTTTCACCCCGTACTCTCGCGGCCAAAACAACCAAGCGCACGATGACCACGCACTGACTCTTGCCTCTTTCTACACGTGTTTTGACTTTCGACTTACTTCACTTGTACTTGATGTCCTGCGGCTCCAGCTGTTCTGATTTGACTACATAGATTTTTGCATGATCTTCATGACCTTCATGCTTCGGATGTTTTGCCACTTTCCTGGATTGTTGACATTTCCTCCTGGATCATGGCGAGCTCCGCTTCCTCTCCGGAATCCCATCGAGCTCCCCGCGGACGACGTGGACCTGGACGCAGTTCCAGATCACATGATGATGTCGATTACAGTGCTGATGAAGCTGATGCCCTCCGCCAATTGCCAGCGGCCCTCCAGTTCCAGATCCACCGCAACCCCCTCCCAACACTGGCACCGGCGACACCTCCACCCACGCCACCACCTCGCGACCACCTTTTCCCCTACGTCCTCTGGCTTCACACCTCCCATCCATTTCTTGTCCCCTTCCCATCCCTCGGCCACGGGCTCTCTCTCACCCTCAATTTCCACCATCGCCACCCGCTCCCCAATCCAGAGGCAGAAGAACTTCGACAACTACGTTTCCAATTTCAGCAGCAGGCCGTTCATCAACAACTTCAACATCAAGCTCTACTACAATCTCCATACGGGCCTTTATTCCCAACTTTCCCCACCCGCACTCCCGCCCCCATATCAATCGCCATTCCGACACCTTTGACCACCTCCAATCCTGATTCTACGCAACCCGTACCCGCCCCAGCCACTTTGACCAACGCTCCGCCCGAACCAGCACCCGCAGACCCAGCGCAGTCCACGCCGACCAATCGCTCCTCCCATCGGCTCGACCGACCTGCGACTACTCCAAGATGGACCCTCCAATGGCTGCGTCGCACTCCCAATCCCACCAGTATGGAACACTCAGGCGAATTGGTCTACTTGATGGGCAACATTGTCGAGATTCGTGTAAATTCCGGTTTTTAGCAACACATTTGGACCACACCTTTTTGGCTCCACATTCCTCACGAACTGTGGATGGACATCCACGAACATGGCTTTCGTGATTGGTTTGATCTCCTCAAGCTCGTCGACAAATATAGCGGTGACCTCATCAATCATCCTGATCGCCCGTGCAGCTGGGAGGCATGCGAAGCTCCTGAGGTCTTACCGCGCACTCTGGTGGACACCACTGTTGAGGAACTTATTCGTCTCCTTCCATCTCCTCTTCGTCGGATTCCTACGACAGATTGGGGTGAACATTTCGGCAACTTCATGACTCACATCGCCCATGTACCTGCCATCATTGAGCGCAATCCCCTTTCTTTGGGGGAAACTTCCCTGTGGACTATCCCAAAACCGAGCACTTCCGCTGGACCCCGCCACAATTGTCCAGCTATTTCTTTTTTCCAGGGATCCTTACTGACGGTGTCATTCGTCCCAGCTCCTGGAAACATGCTCGGGAATCCGATTTCTTTCCCAGCCTTGGTTTCTACTGCCGGTTCTGCTATCCGGGTCATGGCCATTTCAAAGACAACAGGATCAATTCCGCCATTCTTGGTCAATTGACACCCGAACTCCAGCGCGCTCTTCATGTTGCCTGTGGATTTGGAGGTCGCTCCGCATCTCGACGATGCTTCGTGGCTGGAGAGCGCTTCTCCCGCCAAGCCGTTCACTATGTCGTGAAAACGGGTGGTCTTCCTTGCGACGCCATCGCCAGCCACTTCTATGATGTTGTGAGGAACCGATCAGATCGCAGGTACAAGCGCCGCAGCTCTTCCAGTCAGATTCAATATGCTGGTTTGTTCATCGGTACTGACGAGTTGCCCTCCTACGGCCTCAGTCAAGCTGATATTCCTCTATGATCTCTACATCCAGCTGTACCATAACTTGTAGCAGCGTTGCGACTTCAGGTCGCCATTTTCTGCCACCGGAGCGATCTTCCCCTGGAAAACGATGCCACTTTCCGCTTTTCTTTTCTTTTCTTTTTTACACTTTCCTCACATTATCGGTTGTTCACTCAGATCCACTTCGTTTTCCCTCTTCATCCACTTTCCACCTCTTTGGCTCAAGCTTGCCTCGACCTCCAACCCACCCGCACCTGTACCTTGTCAGCTCGTACAGCTATGGAGGCCTCTTTTTGGACCACATTGGACACACCCTCAGCAGGCTCCATTGAGGATCATCAACCTCCTGATCTCCCGACGCTCGCTTGTGGATTCGATTTCTCGTTCCTTGGAGGTACTACTTGAGATGCCCGACGCTACTATGTTCCCTCTCGGACTCCCACCGGATTTGGAACAGATTCTTCGGGGTCTACATGCCTCCACTGAACG